AATTAATTTATTTATTTAAATGACATATTTTACAATCCATAAAATTAAAATTAATACAAGAAATAAAAATGTCTTCTTATAATGATAAAACAAAATATCTTATTATTGAAAATGGAGATATTCTTGATAAATACGACAATCGTAATCCACTTACCCAACAAGGTTATGTTGGTGATGAAAGTAAAATTCTTCTTAATTCATTAACAATTCAAGAATTTAATAACAATCGTGAAAAAGAAAGAGAAGCTTATGAAAAAGTTAATGTATTTTTTGTAATGACACAATCTAGAAATAAAGGTCTTGTGACATCTCATGCTGTAGCTAGATTGGAAGATCAATCAAAAATTAAACAATTGAATATTGATACCAATGATGGGTTTGAAATTTTGTTTACATTATTAATTAACGTATCTAATATGGAAAAATTTAGAGGAAAATGTATTAATATTATTTGTAAAGGTAATGTACGGTTTAGATATATGGTTAAATATATGATTTATCGTTGGATTGAAGCTGATTTTAAAGATGGTAATGATATAATTGGATTAAAAAGAAGTGATGCACAAGATATTGCATATTCATATTTAATTAAACAATTAAATAAAAATATGGAAGAAAAAAATATTAAATTTGATGCTGAATTAAATCTTTCTAAAGTAAATAATGTTGATGATTATTTTAGACTTTTTAAACCGATAATTAATAATAATTCAAAAAAAAGATATGATCCATATAACAAGGATGAAAAAAAATAATTATTTTTTTTATTTAAATTTATTTATTTTTATTATATTTTATGATTAATATTTATTTTATATTTTATCAATAAATTAATTTTAAATTTTATTGATCAGTATTTTTTTTAAATAAAAAATTTTTTAAATTAAATTTATTTGATGATCTTGATGTTCCTATTAAACTTTTTGACCTAGATGACGATTCTTCTTGAGGATCATCTTGTAATTTAGATATGATTCCAGGAGATGGTGATCTAGAATTTTCTCGAGAATCTGATATAATTATTTTAATATTATCTTGAATTGAAACATCTGAAGTAATTACTTCCTTTCTTGAGATTTGAACTCCACGTGCTTGATTTTCCTTTATTTTTTCTTCAGTTATTTTTTCAAATTCATTTGGATCGAATAAGTCATCATAATCATTTTCATCTTTCTTTTCAGAATCACTTAAACTATATCTTGTACTAGAAACTAAACTAATTTGTGAAGGACTTCTTTCGATACTTTGAGTTTCTTCTATTTCTTCTATGCTACTATCTGATTCATTATTATTATCAGAATCAGATTCATATGTATCAACTATATCAGTATCGTATTTTAAGTTTTTATTAGATTTTCCATTATCAGATTTACGTTTTCTTTTATTTAATTTAGTTTCTACATCGAATGTTAATGCTTGTCTACTTCTAGGTTCATGTTTAGCTTTACCTAATATTTCACCGTCATGAGAATGTATAAACATATCACTCATGAAATTACTAGGGTTTGATGTTGATGATGATTCTTCTATTAATCCTATAGGGTTTGAGACATGTATCGCTCTTCTATGTTGTATCATGAATCTTTCTGCTTGTTGAGATTCGATAAATCTTTTTAGTGTTTCTTGTTGATTTATATCAAGATTAGTTATTGTGTTTTGGATGTTATTTCTGAGATTCATAAACATTTCGTTGAATTCTCTGTCTCTGTCATTTATTCTGGTTTGAAGATTTAAAGATGCGATTGCTTGTGTTTCTATGGTATCAGTAATTCTGTCTAATCTGATTTCAAATTCATCAATATTTAAATTTCTGATTTTTCTGATGTCGTTGATTACTTCACCTATTCTTTTGTCTACAGTGTTTATGGATCTAGCTATATTTTCATTATCAATATTTTCTAACCTGTTATTGATTACTCGATTTAAGTTATTGAGATTTCGATTTATGTTTGTATTGATTATACCAAAATGATTATTGATGTTTTCATCAATATTATTAAATTTGTTATTTATATTATCAATGTTAGTATTTATTTTTCTTAAATTTGTATTAAGAAATTGATCCAAGGTATTAAATCTTTGTTCTGTATTAGTATTGATTCTTTTGAAACCTTGATCAATATTATCAAATCTATTATTTGTATTGGTCAATATATTATTAATATTTTGATTTAAAACATCGAGTTTATTATTTGTATTGATAAATCTTTGTTTTAATCCAGTAAGTTGATTCATCATATTTTGATTTGATTTCACTTGTTGATTTTGTTGATTTAATATATTTCTGTTCATCCTATCTATCACAGTTTCTAATTGCGTTTCTGATTGTCTTAGAAAATTATATAATCTTTGATCACGAGCTTGAAGTTGATTTTGCAAGTTCTGAATTTGATTTTGGATAGGTTGAATTATCCCTGTTCTATCATAAGGAGGAGGAAAACCATTACTAGGTCTTGGAGGAAGTGGCGGAGGACCAAGAGGAGGTCTAGAAGGTATATTTGGTGGAGGACCATTACCAAGATGTGATGGTATAGGTATATTATTTTCAATGTGCCACAATCTTATTTCTCTTGTAGATTTAATTATTCTTGGATGTAAACATGCTTGTAATCTACCGTTTTGATATGGACATCTAGGATCATTGCGATCATGATTTTCATCACCACAACAACCACATGCAGCAATATAATTTGGTATTTTAGGTTTTTTAGGTATTTTTGGTCTTTGTATTTTAGGTCTATTGATATAAATGGGTTGTGGTTGTTGTAGTACATTTACAAAAAGATATGGTTGTGGTTGATTTATGTATTGATATTGCCACAGATAAGGATTTAAGAAAAAAGGAATTTGACACTTGATAAATGAAAATAACAAAAAAAATAATAATGATATTTTTATTAAATACATTTAATAAGTTAAAAGATTTTGATTTCGTAACATGAATTGAGGAATTGCTTTTCTCATCATTTTGTGATTTTTTTTAAATTTATTTAAACCTTCTTTGATTTTATCCCATTGAACGCCAGTAACACAATTATTGTTATCAATAGGTTGTATACCAGCAGCAATACCAGTTTTAGCTATTGGACATGAATTTAAACTATGATCAAGTTGGCCACAGCATCCACATATTTTCATGTTTAATTTTGGAGCTTCAAAGTATTTTTTTACAGAATTTCTAATATTTGCGATATTTCTTATATATTGTCTACATATAATTTGAATAACGGGATATCCATTAGCTCTTTTAGGATTGTGTCTATGACCCATAGCACCACATACACTACAGGTTTTTCCATCATGAGGACGTATTTTTACTATTTTATGTGTAGGCCAAGGAACTTCCTAATTATCATATATCATATTTTTTTGAGGAATAAGAGCGTTATTGAAGGGATTCATCATGTTAAAAGGTACTAGACCTAAGTTATTTGGACATTTGTTTTTGTTATGTCCTATTTTTTTACAGATAGAACATCTTTTGATAGCTTCTGATGTGAATATTAATAGATTTATTATCAAATAAAATATTAATAGAATTTTTTTTTTATACATTTTAATTTTTTTTTATGAAAAAAAATATATTTGTTTGAATATTTATATATTGATAAAATTAAATGTATATTTATTAAAAAGTTAAAAGATTTTGATTTCGTAACATGAATTGAGGAATCATTTTTCTTTCTAATTCGTGATTTTTTTTGAATTTATCTAAACCTTCTTTTATTTTATTAAATTGTCTAACAGCAAGACAACCAGCTATAGTTCTAGGATCAGCATTTGGACGAGCTGCAGCTAAAAAGGTTGAACAATTTGTTTTGGAATGATCAAGTTGACCACAACAACTACATATACTTATGTTTGGTTTTGGATTTTCAAAGTATTTTTTTACAGAATTTCTAATATTAGCTACATTAGCTAAAACTTGGTCTCGAATTGGACATGGATTATTTCTTCTATGATTATTTCTATGGCCCATAGCACCACATACGCTACAGGTTTTTCCATCATGAGGACGCATTCTCATTACTCTATGAGTAGGCCAAGGAACTTCCCAATTTTCTTTATTTATATTTTTATTGAATAAAACCATGTTTCTTTGAGGTACCATAGCATTATTTTGCCAAGGTACGAAAGTGTTATTGAAAAGATTGATATTTTCTTTATTAATATTTTGTCGATTTACCCAAGGTACAACAGCAAAAGGATTAACATTTGGATTTGGCCAAGGCCAAAAATTTTCTGGACATTTTTTTCTATTATGACCTCTACGTCCACATATCGAACATTTAGCTTCTGATTTGAATATTAAAAAGTTTATCAATAAAAGTATTAATAAAAATTTCCAAAGTTTTTTTCTGGACATCTTTTGTTAGATGCTATGTGAGATCTACTTCCGCAGATTCCGCAGTGACGAACTTTTTGATTAGATTGATGATTAGAACAAGGTCTTTATTTACAGGAAGCGATGTTATGTCCTTGTAAACCACAACATCCACAAGCGCAAAATGAGTTATTTATTAATATTGATAAAAGTAACAATAGAGATAATAGGTATATGAATTTCATATTTTAAAAGAAAAAAAAATAAAATGGTTGTTTAAATAATTTATACTAATTTATTTTTGATTAAAATAACAAATTTTTTATATTCATTAGCAAAAAATAAATCCATTTTTTCTTTTTCTAATTTATCTTCTTTTCTTTTTAATTGAGTTTTTTCACTTTCATGTATGTAAACATCAGAGATTAATTTCATGGAATTATACATTTCTTCTTCATCATTTATTATTCTAGTGTTGATTATAATTTTTTTACGATTTACTATTCTAGTTTTTTTGACGAAAAAATTTTCATGCGTAAACTCTAAGAAATTATGTAAATTATTTTTTATGTTTTCATTATCGATATCTTTTTTTATACGTTTTTCCCATATGTCAAATTGTTGTTTGACGTTTAATCTTTTTCTTTTCATCTTCTGAATTTTGAATTTCTAGAAGTTACTTTTATTTCTGTAGGGTATTTAGTAGTTTTTGTATGGTATTCGATGATTTTTAAACCTTCTACTAAACTTTCAGGTTCTTCATCTATATTTAAATTTTCAAATATTCCTTTTAAGAAAATAATTGATTCTTCGATTATTTCTTCAAAAGTGTTATTTTGTTCTATCAGATTATTTGTGTTTTGATTTATTTTTTTATATTTTTTTGTGTTAGATATATTTTCCTTTATTAATGCAGAAAAATCTCTATGTAAACTATTGAATACTCCAGATTTTTTGTAATTTTTAGTATATTCTAACC